ATCCCAAGTACAGATTTCCAGATCTCACTGCTGAAAGATTGATTTGGGATCGGGGAAATCTGAATTTTTAATAAGCGCTTCAGGTGGGATTGTGATGTAGGTGCTATACTTCTGCCAGGATAGGGTCTCGGTACCATGTCCTCCTCTTTCAAAAGGCATCCTGAGGTACATTTACACAATGGAATACTAGGCAACTGGTAAAAAAAAAAAAAAAAAGGAACTCTTACCCTTTGCAACAACATGAATGGACCTGGAGATTATTATGGTAAGCAAAATAAGCCAGGCAGAGAGAGACAAATACCACATGCTCTCACTGATATGTGGGATCTAAAGAACAAAATAAACTGACAAACAAAATAGGACCAGAGGCATGGAAGCCTGTGTTAACGTAAGAAATCATTCAGACCTGTGAAGAATTTTTGTGAGTTTATTTGAGCCAAACTGTCGACAATTGCCGGGAAGCTAACTCCCTCAACAGATTGAGATAATGTCCCAGAGAACGGCGGTTTTGCATCTTGCTTTATAGATTACAATCAAGGGGGGGACGTAAGTGGGTTACATGAAACCCACTGGTGATAGATTAGGGAGGTGGGAGAAAACAAAGCGGGGAAACCTCTGGGATTGGATAAAAAGTAAAATGATTAGACAGACTTCTTTTACATAGGTGGGTACAGGATAGTTGACAGCCAAGTTAGCAAGATATCAGTAACAATGTGAGGATTCCTGGTCTCTGCCCTGATGCACTGAGGGCCCCGAAAAAGGGGAAATTCCTTTGTTTTGCAAAGGCCTGTGTTAATCAGGTAGGTTATCCCAGCTACAAAGACAACCAACGGGCTTAGTTAAGGTGAAAATTAACCTTTGTGAAGGAAAAATACTGCCTTAGGGTGTGACTACCCACCGTAGACTGCTTTTAGTTAAAACGTTTTAATTTCAGGCCATCCTTTGAGGTTATTTTAGGTCTCTGAGTTTGCAAGGCCACCACTCAGGCCTCCCTGAGCTTTTCAGGTTTAGGATGTGTCCCCTTTTCGTCCACACCTGGAACAGACTGACAGATCTCAGAGGGGCATTGGGGGATGGACGGGAAGAGATTAACCAAAGAACATGTATGCATATATGCATAACCCATGGACACAGACAGTGGTGTGAAGGCC